GCGCTATTTTGTTGGTTAGTGTTACTGTATTGGTATATTTGTAAGAGACATTGAGCACTTTTTGTTATTGCTACACCTACCTAAGCAATAATGAAAAGTTTTCTATGTATTATAAGTTTTCTATATATATATATATATATATATTACTCCGAGTCTCTCTGCGCTATTTTGTTGGTTAGTGTTACTGTATTGGTATATTTGTAAAACATTAAGCACTTTTTATTGCTACACCTACCTAAGCAATAATGAAAAGTTTTCTATGTATTATAAGTTTTCTATATATATATATATATATATATATATATTACTCCGAGTCTCTCTGCGCTATTTTGTTGGTTAGTGTTACTGTATTGGTATATTTGTAAGAGACATTAAGCACTTTTTGTTATTGCTACACCTACCTAAGCAATAATGAAAAGTTTTCTATGTATTATAAGTTTTCTATATATATATATATATATATATATATATATATATTACTCAAGTCTCTCTGCGCTATTTTGTTGGTTAGTGTTACTGTATTGGTATATTTGTAAGAGACATTAAGCACTTTTTGTTATTGCTACACCTACCTAAGCAATAATGAAAAATTTTCTATGTATTATAAGTTTTCTATATATATATATATATATATATATATATATATACTCAAGAGTCTCTCTGCGCTATTTTGTTGGTTAGTGTTACTGTATTGGTATATTTGTAAGAGACATTAAGCACTTTTTTTTTTATTGCTACACCTACCTAAGAATGAAAAGTTTTCTATGTATTATAAGTTTTTATATATATATATATATATATATATATATATATATTCAGTCTCTCTGCTATTTTTGTTGGTTAGTGTTACTGTATTGGTATATTTGTAAAGACATTGAGCACTTTTTGTTATTGCTACACCTACCTAAGCAATAATGAAAAGTTTTCTATATATTATAAGTTTTATATATATATATATATATATATATATATATATATATATATATATATATTACTCGAGTCTCTCTGCGCTATTTTGTTGGTTAGTGTTACTGTATTGGTATATTTGTAAGAGACATTAAGCACTTTTTTGTTATTGCCACACCTACCTAAGCAATAATGAAAAGTTTTTCTATGTATTATAAGTTTTATATATATATATATATATATATATATATATATATATATATATATTCCTCAGAGTCTCTCTGCGCTATTTTGTTGGTTAGTGTTACTGTATTGGTATATTTGTAAGAGACATTAAGCACTTTTTTTTATTACTACACCTACCTAAGCAATAATGAAAAGTTTTCTATGTATTATAAGTTTTCTATATATATATATATATATATATATATATACTCAAGTCTCTCTGCGCTATTTTGTTGGTTAGTGTTACTGTATTGGTATATTTGTAAGAGACATTAAGCACTTTTTGTTATTGCTACACCTACCTAAGCAATAATGAAAAGTTTTTCTATGTATTATAAGTTTTCTATATATATATATATATATATATATATATTACTCGAGTTCTCTGCGCTATTTTGTTGGTTAGTGTTACTGTATTGGTATATTTGTAAGAGACATTAAGCACTTTTTGTTATTGCTACACCTACCTAAGCAATAATGAAAAGTTTTCTATGTATATAAGTTTTTCTATATATATATATATATATATATATATATACTCAAGTCTCTCTGCGCTATTTTGTTGGTTAGTGTTACTGTATTGGTATATTTGTAAGAGACATTAAGCACTTTTTTGTTATTACTACACCTACCTAAGCAATAATGAAAAGTTTTCTATGTATTATAAGTTTTCTATATATATATATATATATATTACTCGAGAGTCTCTGCGCTATTTTGTTGGTTAGTGTTACTGTATTGGTATATTTGTAAGAGACATTGAGCACTTTTTGTTTTTGCTACACCTACCTAAGCAATAATAAAAGTTCTCTATGTATTATAAGTTTTCTATATATATATATATATATATATATATATATATATATATATATATATTACTCCAGTCTCTCTGCGCTATTTTGTTGGTTAGTGTTACTGTATTGGTATATTTGTAAGAGACATTAAGCACTTTTTGTTATTGCTACACCTACCTAAGCAATAATGAAAAGTTCTCTATGTATTATAAGTTTTCTATATATATATATATATATATATATATATTACTCCGAGTCTCTCTGCGCTATTTTGTTGGTTAGTGTTACTGTATTGGTATATTTGTAAGAGACATTAAGCACTTTTTTTGTTATTGCTACACCTACCTAAGCAATAATGAAAAGTTCTCTATGTATTATAAGTTTTCTATATATATATATATATATATATATATATATATATATATATATATATATTACTCTCTCTGCGCTATTTTGTTGGTTAGTGTTACTGTATTGGTATATTTGTAAGAGACATTAAGCACTTTTTGTTATTGCTACACCTACCTAAGCAATAATGAAAAGTTTTCTATGTATTATAAGTTTTCTATATATATATATATATATATATATATATATATATATTACTCGAGTCTCTTTGCGCTATTTTGTTGGTTAGTGTTACTGTATTGGTATATTTGTAAGAGACATTGAGCACTTTTTGTTATTGCTACACCTACCTAAGCAATAATGAAAAGTTTTCTATATAAGTTTTATAAGTTTTATATATATATATATATATATATATATATATTACTCGAGTCTCTCTGCGCTATTTTGTTGGTTAGTGTTACTGTATTGGTATATTTGTAAGAGACATTAAGCACTTTTTGTTATTGCTACACCTACCTAAGCAATAATGAAAAGTTTTCTATGTATTATAAGTTTTCTATATATATATATATATATATATATATATATATATATATATATATTACTCCGAGTCTCTCTGCGCTATTTTGTTGGTTAGTGTTACTGTATTGGTATATTTGTTAGAGACATTGAGCACTTTTTGTTATTGCTACACCTACCTAAGCAATAATGAAAAGTTTTCTATGTATTTTATTAATTTGATAAATTATTCAACCTTTTCCAGCATCTGTTATTCTCTCTAACATGCAATGTTGCCCGCTTATTGTTAGTTTTTCATTTAATCACTTGTATTATATGGCTTTTTTATACCTTGAATAAATAGCTGGCTTTGTATATTGTGAAATTCGTTTCTTACATCTTTCAAAAGGCATGTTGCTATACCATATTTCCTTAGTGAGTTTCTATCTTTCACATTTTGAAGCTTAAATATTATTTCATCTGTTGAAATGTGATGAGTAAATGTTGGTTAAATTTTTATTTTGGTTTGCATAGTAAAATTCGGGATTCCTTCGTTTTTGTTTATTTCACTGGTTCTAAAATTTAGAGCAGTTTCTTAGCTGTTTAGTATTTTGACTAGAGTTGTGCCTGTAGGTACCGTACTAAGAATTTCCTTTCGTGTCAGCATTTGAAAATGAGCTCTGATTCTCTGTTTATGAGTTTAACTTGTTCCAGAAATGTAACTATTCTTCCGTTCCAGTTCTTCTTTATCCATATAGGTTACTGATCGGGAATGTTTTCCTTTCTTGAACATTTCCTTTACACTTTATCCATTTATCTGTTTTCTTTTTACTTGTAGGATTTATTTGTTGAATTCTGGATGTTTCATTTTTTTATCAGTATTAGTTTTGTTTTTTATTGTTAACTTTGAATTATCTCCCTTGGTTATGAATATTTTGGTTTATTTCCGCTCTTTTCGCTACTGTTTCCTTTATTACAGTTATAAATTTTCTATTCATATTCTTTATTTTCTTTATTCAGGAAAGCATCGAACATGTTCTGCCTGAGGTTTAGTGATACCTTTTCTGATTTTCTGGGGAATATTTCCATTCTAAAAAATATTTGACTTCTTTCATTGTTTTAAAGCCATACTTGACTAAGCTCTTGTTTTATGATCACTTCAGATACTAGTTTGTTCAGTACTTTTTTAATGGAACTTTGTCAGCAGTTATCAATTAAATTTCAATTTTATCCATTTGAGTTTTCCAAATCCGTACTTCATTTTATATATAATTATATTGGGATTATATCAAATATATACTGATCAAGAAAACTATGTAAAATATTCAAACGATAGACTCAAACCTCACCTATATCGACGCAAAAAAAATCACCAGGGCACAACAAACCCCACTTGTCATTGCAAAAAATCCTGAATGCTCATTAAGCTGTAACTACCTACAATCTAACAGCATATACAAAGCTACTGTAAGTTCCAAAAGAAACTCATGAAAAATGCATGTCGAAATAACAGAAAGTTCATGCTAATAAAAGCTCCTCAAACAAAACATCATTAAACACCAGGAAAACGCATATATTACAATGTCTTTAAACAGAGAATTTCCAAAGCACAAACCAAACATCATATGGAAATTTAAAAAAAAAACACCAATTTAACACATAGTCCCATAAGAGTAAAACCTCTTTCGAGGTGGAAATAGCAATAGTTACATTTCTGGAACAAGTTAAACTCATAAACAAAGAACCAGAGCTCATTTTCAAATGCTGACACGAAAGGAAATTCTTAGTACGGTACCTACAGGCACATCACTAGTCAAAATACTAAACAGCTAAGAAACTGCTCTAAATTTTAGAACCAGGTAATATATATAGAAAACATTATTAAATGAGATTTAATTGAAGTTAAACAAATGAAAATTAAACGAAATCTCCCCCCAGACCACGTTCTGTCATCCACTTGATTAAGGCCGCCAGTTATATCATTTGTTTGTCTGTTTCCCTCTATTCGACGAGTGAGCATCAGATTCTCCGGGAACTTCAGCTGCCTCTTCCTGATGGTAAATATAAGCTTCATCCTTGTTTGCATCCCCTCACACTATCTACAAAATGTTTTTTTAAAATATTGTATTTCTTTTTCGGCATAATTTTCTTCCTTCGTCAAAGCACTTTACCAAACTTTTGTACAGGATACACAGTAATTGATCTTTCCTGCGACACCTCGTACGTATGAATCCTCCTCAAACCAATTTATCTATTTGGATCTATGTCTCAATGCATTTGTATCCGTTTCTCTTATGATCTTCAGCCTCTTAGTATCTATCATCCTCTTTTCATATTCATCTATTCTACATAAGTATATTCATAATCATATCGACTAATGTCGACCTGCTCACATCTGTCTATCGATATAAAACTCCCTTCATCATTGTACTTCTCGATTTCCTAACTATCGATAAGTCTGTTTATATCAACCTCTACATATATCTATCGACCTAATTTCGTCTGCTGATATCGATCTAGTAGCCATTAAGTCTTTCTATCTATCTATCTATCGCAGCTTCTTCATATGTATCTAGCTATCTATCTTGGTATCTTCATATCTATCTATCTATACATTCATAGATTGTTCTACAATAATCTGTTTTTATTATTACTATAAACGTTATTTTTATTAGGTACATGTATCTGAGTTGGTAAACACGTTTTTTTCTTTTATTTATTTATTTTTTTTCTTAAACAGTAAAGTGAATAACAACCGGCCGAGATGGAGATTTCCTACTAAAGATATATTGAGCCTCCAGCAAGAATCGAACCTGTATCGTTATTTTTTATTCAGGGAAACCGTTTCTATAGCCGAAACGTGACTTTATCGTTTTTACTACGGAGAACCCGTTGATAAAGCAAGGAGTGAATTGCCTATTTAAGGAATGCACATTTCACGCTGCCACGTCTAGAAATCCAAGCCAATTAGCTTCAGAACTACTAAACAGTCAGTCTGTCTGTCTGTCTGTCTGTCTGTCTGTCTATCTATCTATCTATCTATCTATCTATCTATCACACCCTATCTCTCTATATATATATATATATATATATATATATATATATATATATATATATATATATATATATATATATATATATATATATATATACTAGTTTCTATCTATCTATCACTCTCTCTCTCTCTCTCTCTCTCTCTCTCTATATATATATATATATATATATATATATATATATATATATATATATGCCAGCTTATCTATTTATATATGTTTATTTGTTTCTACGTATCTGTATATCTATTTGAGTCTGGTTGTATCTATCCATTCAAGAATCGTCCTGCAATATTATGTTTAAATCGAGCTATCAGTATGTCCATCTACCTGAGTCTAACGCTATCTATCTATCTATCTATCTATCTATCTATCTATCTATCTATCTATCTATATTAGCCAGTTTTTATCTCTCTCTGTATATATATATATATATATATATATATATATATATATATATATATATATATATATATATATAGTTTATCTCTATCTATTTATATATGTTTGTTTGTGTGTTTGTATCTATTTGTCTATTTGGGTCTGGTTGTATCTATCCATTCATGAATCGACCTGCACTATTACGTTTATATCGAGCTATCAATATGTCTATCCCCCTTAGTATAACGCTATCTATCTATCTATCTATCTATCTATCTATCTATCTATCTATCTATCTATGTAACGTCTTGTCTCAATCTGTTTATATCTATTAGTTTGTTTCTCTATCTCTCTGGGTTTGTGATGCTTATATATATATAGTTAACTAGTCTATTGTGTAATACCATATTAAAAAAACCGCACGTGTCCTTATTTTGCAATGTAGTTCAGTTAAAACCTACACAAGGTACTTTCAAGAACTGCTTTCTCTTCCAAAGACTAATCCTGCTCAAAGACGGTCTTTCTAAATATTACTTTCCCTTTCCCATTAGATTATTAACTAGTTAAAGAGCCAACATCAAATTTCCTGTAAAAGAAGATGTGCGTCACACGCCACAAAAGTGGCTCTGCCCTTGTCGGCCTTGTTCTTCACTGAGAAACGAAGCGCCGGATATTGACTCCAGCTCCTTGAATTGTCGGTCCTGGCCGGACCCATGCTTCAGTCTCGCTTACGCACGATTCGATTCACTACTGACTTTTCGGAAAAGCTATGAAGTTCACCGATCTAGCGTTCTTTTGATCTTCAGCCGCGTCAAAACATATCTCCCCTTTTATTCATACTGTTCTTTCTCAGAAAAACAAATACCATTTTTGCCTAATACTTGGAATTGGATTTATATATACAAAAAGCAACACGATGTGAGCTAGAATCTCAGATCAGAGAGAGTTGCATCCATTCGATCCCCCACATGCTCCAAAAGTGTTGTGAATCACTGTGTGTAAGCATTTATATATTCCAAACATGTAAATAATCGTGATGTATCACTATTATAATACAAGTGTTTGTAAAGCAATTACGCTTTACCAAAGACAATATGAAAAGAAAGGTAAGTTAAGTTTATTTAAATATTATTGATCAAAAACGTAATCATCTTCATTTTCAATGAGGGAAGGCTAACGATTTCGCGTTCACTTTTCATTTGATTTTGATTTCTCTTAGTGTTATGAGACCTTACCCATGGACTATTCCATACGTAATAGATACTGCGCCTCAAGAGGAAGCAGGGAGTTCAGTCCGAAGTCGAGCGACCGGCTGATCGGTTGAACTCTCTACCTTCGGTCGGGGAGGAAACCGAACGAGGCTACGCCGAAGGGCGGAGTCTCTTTCGGGGAGGTAAACCGAACCTGAACCCGTTTTTATACGGGTTCAAAGGGCATATTTTTGGCCGAGCCCATAGGCTCGGAGACCCCACATGATGCCCTCGTGGGGGTGGGGGTGACTAAATACCGTTCAGTTCAGTCCGAAGTCGGGCGACCGGTTGATCGGCTGATCGGTTGAACTCTTTGCCTTAGGGCGGGGAGGAACCCGAACGAGGCAACGCCGAAGGGAGGAGTCTCGTTTGGGGAGGTAAAGCGACCCTGAACCCGTTTATACTGGTTCAATGGGCATATTTTTGGCCGAACCCACGGGCTCGGAGGTCCCACGTTAAACTGGCCTTGTGCCACATGATGCCCCCGTGGTGGGGAGGGGTGACTAAATACTGTTCAGTATTAAGTCTGGAGTAAAGTCTGTCAGTCAGTCAGAGCGAGCGAGTCAGTCAGTCGAGTCAGAGGCAGTCCGAAACAGAGCCGCGTTCAGACAATTACTACAAGACATTGGAATAGTGACTACATTGTTCTCTCTACTAAACCTGCTTGTTCGTACTAACACTTTCTTCTTTTCTGTATATATTCCTGTTTGTAATATATCTGTGTTCATTCCATACCTGTGTTCGAGTTCTTCTTTATTGGTTCTATTTTGGACTATCACCGTGGTACAAGGAATCGGACCATAACACTTAGAAATTGTTTTTTTCCACGAAAAAATAATTGTAAGCCTTTTTTTACTTTCTATGTCTCTTATGAAATTTTCTAATAATCGAAACAAATGAAATGAAATGGATGAGAAATCTGTTAAAAGTTTATCCCACTTCTCAACGCAATTTTTCGGAGTTCAAGATTCATCCGACTTCCATTGTAAAGACTGGTCCTTTGTTCCAATATTATAACCAGAGATACACTATCCATCTCTACTTATGACTTTTAAAAAAAAAAGTCATTGTTCGTGGTTTCATGTGCAGACAAGGCACAAAATTGCTTCCGATATTGATACAGTAGCCGTGAAAAATATATCTTGTCATCAATCGAAGATCCTCTTTTAGAGTCTCTAAAATATTACTTTACGGAATCCCCAGATCTATATCCCGTACTGCCAATGACCGTTTTCCATTAATCACGTCCAACATTTTTGAGTGTTGGCATTTCGAACATCTTTCAGAATGTCGATATTCTTCAACGTCTTCTCAACACTTAGTTCAGAATAGTCGGTACTAAAATTATATATGGCCTTTGATTAGTAAATCATTCTCTAAAGTTACCTATTCTCTAAAGCATGTGGATGAAATTATATACAGAATGTGATGGATAAATTGTCGTCTAAATTTCGCAAAAATGAAAATAACACTGATATCTCATTTTAATAGATATATTAACTCGAATTACACGAAAATATCTTGAAACACTAAACAGTAAATTTATTCAACACAATCGCCATTGGCTTCAACCACAGCTTCCAGACGACTTCAGAATCTTCTGCAATTCTTCTAGACGGTTTGCATGTTTAAGTGAATGGTGCCATAATCCCTGCCTTCAGTTACTCTTTGGTGTTGCAAGGAGTTTTTTTTTTGGTCTCTCGCTTAACTGCTCCCCACACATAATAATCAAGGAGGTTGAAGGCTGGGGAGTTAGGTGGCCAAATCTAAGGGGTGATGTAGTAGCAGAAATTGCTTGGCATCCATGACCAGGTTCTCCTGCTTGTCTGGCATGTTGAAGAATCTTGTTGCGAGATATAGGGTCTTCCAGCAACCGCCGTTTTGACCCAGGACAGCACTACCCCCTCAGGGCATTTGATGTAGGCCTCCGTGTTAAGTCGGAAGCCCTTGCTGACAAATTCGGGAGTTCACTTCTTATCAGAACGATCTCACACCTACAGATTACCATCGGCTTAATCACTAGAATATTTCATAACAGACGATCATTTTCATTAATATATAATAAAATTGACTATCTGTCTATATTTCTGAGATGAGGTATTATGTACACTATTTACATTATTCAAACTATTGCCCTCTTCATTGTCGCCATATTTATTACAACGTTTCGGCCATTCTACGGATTCTTCAGGTGGTTGGAATGTCGAACTGAACCCTTTATTTGGCTCACTGGGGTAGACTGTTCTAGTTCCACGGGCCATTTCTAATGAATGTCAGTTATCAGTTATCTCCTGTTAATTCCCCTCTCCAAGTTCTCCACTGTCTTAACCAGATACTGAACTCACACTCTTTGGGTCCTGTCAAGGGCACATGGCACAGTTTGATAAAGGCGTTAGTTAGATCCAATGACAGGACCCAAAAAGTCTGAGTTCAATACATGGTTAAGGCGGTGTAATCATGAATTTATATGCTTGAAGTTGTGTCGGTAAATCGTTTCGGGAAAAATAATTTTTAAAGTGCGTAGTTTTAACGAATTGTCAGGAAGAGGAAATGTTCCGACAACAAATTAAATATCCGACACAAAATAATATTAAAACAATGTTTAAAACAAAAGTGATTCCGTTGCTCACAGAAGGGATATACGGTTGCATACAGTAAGTGATATACAAATACGGATATTTTGAAATACTTAGATTTCTTAAAATGTTGAAAGAAATTTTTTTTGAAGCGCCACGGGCTTGGTTAAAGGCTGATAATATAATTGCTGAGGAATTTTACACTGGCGAAAACTTCAACGCAGGACGCAGTGAATAGAAACGAAACCTTTCACATGATTTCAGACACTCTTCTCTTATTAATTTATTTTTTTCCTGATTTTATATCTGTTATGGTCCGGTTCCTTGTACCACGGTGATAGTCCAAGGTAGAACCAATAAAGAAGAACTCGAACACAGGTATGAAATAACACAGATATATTACAAACAGGAATATATACAGAGAAGTAGAAGTGTTAGTATGAACAATCAGGTTTAGTAGGGAGAACAATGTAGTCTCGACCAGTATCACTATTCCAATGTCTTGTAGTAATTGTCTGAACGCGACTCTGTTTCGGACTGCCTCTGACTCGACTCTTGACTCGACTTGAACTACTCACTGACTTGAGCTACTGACTATATTTAGTCATCCCCCCCACACACGTGGGCACATGTGGCACAAGGCCGGTTTAACGTGGGATCTCCGAGCCCGTAGGATCTCCGAGCCCGTGGGATCTCCGAGCCCGTGGGCTCTGCCAAAAATATGCCCATTGAACCCGTATAAACGGGATGAGGGTCGGTTTACCTCCCCGAAAGAGAATCCGCCCTTCGGCGTAGCCTCTTTCGGGTTCCTCCCTGCCCGAAGGCAGACAGTTCAACCGATCAGCCGGTCGTGAACTACTGACTGACTCCTTGCCTACTCCTGAGTATTTATTAAGTATGGAATAGTCCATTATTATCATTATTATGGGTAAGGTCACATAACAATATCATAAAGAATTTTTTATAGACTGGCTACTTTCTTTTCTTTCTTCTTGTTAGCTAACGGCTAATTCCTGTGAAGACAAGGTTTTCATTGGTTCAAAAACAATTTCACAAAGACTCACGGATTTCTTTTCAGCTCAACAACTAGTTTCTGTGAAAACCAGCTGTTCATTGGTTCAAAGAAAATTTCACATGGGCTCCCGAATTACTTTCCGTCTTTTTCCTCAGTTCTCCGAATTAGAAGGGAGTGTATAAAGGGAGTTATTATTATTTCCCACTCACTATATATCCAGCAATCTTTCACTGAAATAACTAACGGAGGAAAAATAGTAACTCAATGGCACACTATGCCATTTTCCCACTAAACTATCTGTATCTACTAAATATATGTACAGAGATCTAATAATTCAATGACCCCATATCTAACACATGCAACAGAACTATCCATACGGAGGAAGAATGACTCGTGGATTCCATACCTGACACCTTCCTCCTTAACTATCTCTACGGAGAAATAATGACTGAATAATCT